TATCTTGCATCGGTAACATCCGAACTTCAGGTGTACTATGTTGATCATAATACTCGAACTACTACTTGGCAGCGACCTACAGCAGATATGCTTGAAGCACACGAACAATGGCAATCTGGCAGGGATCAAGCTATGCACCAATGGGAACAACGATTTCTGCTGCAGGTGTAGTTGTGCTTTTGTTCATTGAAAATGACTGTTTTCTGAAATCCTTTCAAATTTTAATGAGTGAGCTCATTACGATTAGTGCTTTCTATATCTAACGATCACTAGAAGAGGTTTCCAAAAAGTAATCTTTTTTCGAAACTTTATGGTCATACAACTACGGATTTTTCTTTGACCTGCAATGTCATGCTCCGTATGCGTTGCTTTCCCTGTCAGAAGTTAAGTCCATGGCATATTCCAGGCGAACTCTCTGACGGCCAGTGATGATCCGCTCGGACCGCTTCCGGATGGTTGGGAGAAACGCGAGGATCCTAAAACAAGACGGATATACTTCGTGAATCATGTTAATCGAACCACTCAATGGGAGGACCCTAGAACACAGGGGTGAGCCCATTTTTGTTTCAGATGGAACAAAACGAATGCTCAGGCTAGAGAAGTTGTTGTGGTCCAATTTGTTATCTTCTTCTATTTTTTATAGGTGAAAATATTAAGAGAAAGTGCTAAGAATTAGTCGTGAGGATCCGCTCATTGAGCACTTCTGCAAGCTTACTTGTTATTTGCGTGAAATGGACAGGTGTTATTGCGCAGGTGCTACCGCATGTTGACGTTTAGAAGTGAACACATTAGAAGCTTTCCATAACGCAAATAACAGAGAACGTATCCCATTGGCTATTAATATAGATCTTCTAAAGTTTTGACCTGTAAAATCATAGTTGACAGATGCATGAAGATATGAGATTGTTTGAGAGAAACGTCTTGCCATCGTTAACAGATAAACACATACCTAATCCTCTATAACATATGCGTTAAGAAACATCGCAGTGTTTGCTCATTCAATTAGCCGCACATTCCTGATTTTCGG